GTTTGAGGCCAGCCTGCGCTACACAGGCAGACCCTGTCTCACAAAACCAATCAATCAATCAATGTCAATCAATCAATAGCTCTAGCTAATAAACTAGTACCCAGAAAAAGTTTGCAGAATTTTAGTCTTTAACCTATAGTTTTAGTTAATGGTTAATCAGCTTCTTTAAAGATTTAGAGGAAGACTTAAAAATGACTTCTCCCCAAAGGTGAAGATGTATGCAGAGATTTTTAAAATATTCTCTACTTCTCACAGCTTTGTTTTCCTGCTTTACCTTACTCACAGGTGCTTAAACAATCAGACATTACTTACTGGTTTTCTTTTTCCTATTCAATGATTTTCCCTGATAGTACAGAATCAACAGTTCTGTAGAACTACTCCTCTTAATCTCCAAGAATTACCTATCATAAAAATGAAAAACAATTATAATGATATCTTGAAATGTACACAACATTCCCATGATTAAGACTTTATCTTAACAAATAGGTATCACACTCTATATAGTTTAATTCACTATGTGCAAATATAAAATTTGTCATTTTGAAATACACATTGTAATTCAGATGTCATATTTCAAATCCTTTCTTACCTAAATAAAAACCCTGAAGTATAAAAACATTTACATTGGAATGTAAGCACAATGAGGACAGGAATTTGCGTTTGATTCACTTCTGTAAAGTCAGTACCTAGAACAGTGCTTGCAACACAAGAGAAACTTAAATATGTGTCAAACCCAAACCTACTCTCTATGCCTTTTAGTAAAATGCTAGCCTTTGAATGTCAATGAAATATGTCACAACCTGGGGAACCAATTTGTACCCCTTTGTCTTGAAATATTAAACAAAAACCACATTTATTTATTTTCAGACATTCATATACACTTTTTTCTAGTTTAAAAGTGTTTTAATTCTATTTCCCACCTACTACTAAAACTTTACTTTTAAAATAAATCAGCACAGGGGCTGGGGATTTAGCTCAGCGGCAAAGCGCCTGCCTGGCAAGCGCAAGGTTGTGAGTTCGGTTCCCGGTACCAGAGAAAAACCAAAAAATATATATATATATATATAAAATAAATCAGCACATGAAAATATACTCTATAAAAGATTAAAAACTCCTTTTAAATACGCTACTATGCTACATTAAAATATAATTTAAGATGGCTAATAAGTACTGTACATACAAAGGTGCTCAACTGACATCATGTTATTAGAAAAGTGCAAAGTAAAACAGTGAGATAGCATTATACACATATTACAACGGCCAAAATTCAAAACTTTCACAGTATCAAATGCTAAAGAGGAGGTAGAGTAACAGGAACTTTTATTCATTTCTGGTAAAAATGCAAAATAGTACAGCCACTTTGGAAGACTGACAGTTTCTTACAAAATTAAACATACTCTGCCCATATGACCTAACAGTCATGCTCTTTGATATTTATCCAAATGAGTTTAAAACTTATGTCCATGTGAGAAGCCACACAGTGATGTTTATTATAACAGCTCTGTCCACAACTGTCAAAACTTAGAAGTTAGCAACATTTCTTTCAGTGGGTAAATGTATAAATAAACTGGTACATCCAGACAATGGACTATTATTCAACGATGAAAAGAAATGGGCCACCACAACATGAAAAGATATAGAGGAATCTTAAATGCATATTAGTAAGTGAAAGAAGCTAATCTAAAAAGGCTACATACTAAATAACCCTAACTATGTAACATTCTGAAAAAGGCAAAACCATGGAGATAGTAAAAGATCATGGTTACCAAGGGTTAGTGTGGAGGGAGGGATGAATCAGTGAAGCACAGAAGATTTTTAGGGCAGAGCAATTATTCTGTGATACGATGGGGAATACAGGTCATACATTTGTCCAAACCCATAGCATGCACACCACACGGGAACTGCAATGTAAACTAGGTGTTTGGGGCAATAGCAGAAGGTCAGTACAGGTTCATCAAAAGCAACAAATCCATCAGTATGCACTTGTAGGGGCAGGAGGTACATAGGAACCCGCTATACTCTGTCCTTAATGGTTCTATGAACCTAAAACTGCTGAGAAAAAAAGTCTATTGAAAAACATGTTGTCTGAGATCAGAGAGAGAGACAAAGAGTGAGGAGAGAGTGAGAGACAGAGAGATTGAGATTGAGATTGAGATTGTGATTGTTCTGGCTCACAGTTTTGGAGTTTCCAGTGCATAATCTACTGGCCCCATTATTGGGCTGCTGGTGGGGATGGTGGATGGCAACGGCAGGAAGCACACATCAGAGCAAACTGCTCACCTCCTGGCCGGGAAACAAAGAGAAAGAAGAGCCCAGGGCCTCACGGGTCCCTTCAGAGGCATGTACCAAACAACCTAGGGTCCTTCCGCTAGGCAACACCTCTTCAAGGCTCCACCTTCTCCCAACAGCATTGCCCTGGGGACAAACTCTTCAATATTCAGACCTTTGGAGAATGCTTTTCCAACCTAAAGCATATGGTGAGATTTTATATCTATAAATACAAATATTTATACATACAAGTACGCAGCAATACTTACATTTACATATCAACTGCAGAAAAACCTTAAGATAAGTATAAGCTCACTTCCTTAACAAAGTAAGAAGCATAATGGTTTACTTTTAATTCAAGTAGGAGATAAAATTACTCTGTTTGTGTAGAACATTTACTCCCGGTAACATGGTAACCTTCTGGTATATGATGGTAATCCTAATTGTATACTTATCAAGAGAAAAATGTGGGTGTTACCATAGAAACTACCAGGGCTGCTTAGTGCCTCCATGATTTGAGCAGTTATACCTGTTGGGCCACTTACATCTAAATTTACAGGTTTCCTTTTAACAGGGAAAGGAGGAAAATGTCATTTGTCATTAAAAAATTGGTTAACACACTATGCGATAATGCAAATTAAAGTGATCAGAGTACACACACACACACACATATCACAACCACTACCAAAGTGATGGGTTAAAAGTGGGTGGCTAACTTTGAAGATATCAATATGTAATACAACCACCATTGTTAATTCCCTACCACTTTGTTTGGAACTCTGTATTGTCTGTATTGTGCTTGTGATATGTTGTAAAATGTTGTATGTCTGTTAATGTTTCCCTCCTTTTATCCTTAAAATAAAAAAAAAAAAAAAAAGTGGGTGGCTACCAGTTGTTGACTTTGTTCTGATTCTCTCAGGATTAGTTTTCCCTGTCCAGGATTCCTTTAACATTCACTTTCACCTGTACCAAGAATAAATATCAGGTTGCTGTAATTTTGTTAGGTTAAAGGAAAAGGATTTTTTGTTTTGTTTTGCTAGACTAAGTAAAAGAGCTCAAAGCTCTGAGCGATTTATTCTAAGCAGTCTAGGAACATCTCTTTTGCCAGGATGTGAAGCAGTTTTCAACTGGAGAACATAATCTTGTTCACACAAAAGCACTGTGCCTTCGGTTCCTCTTAAATCTTATGTAGTGCAATGATTCTAACACAAGGAAATCCTCTTCTGCATTCCTGAGGGAGCCTCAACTAACATATTCACATTTAATATGCCCACCTCCTATCACTCTCAATGTGTTACAAACAACAAAATAAGCCTTAGCAGGTGCCTGGATCACACTTGCTGCAACAGCCTCAGTCAACAAATTTATTATGCTTGGGAGCTGGGTAAGGCCTCATATAATAGCCATGGTTTATGTTTTAGAACACCAACTTTCTCTTTTCCTGGTCCAGCTCAACTGCTCAATAGCAGCGGCAGAACTGTCTCTGTAGCAGTGGCTTTTGGAGGGATAAATAGCCACGTGAAGTTCTATCAATACTAATTATATTCTCAGAAATTCTAAATTTGAAAAGGTGAACGATTACACAGTAGTTAAAGTTATGCTGATAAACATATGGACAGATGCATGCTCCAGCAGTATAAAAACGCAGATGCTCTTAAGCAACACAAACAAAACCCTACAAACGAAATGGACCATAAAACCATCAGTACTCCTTCAGAACAAGGTTTTAAAATATCACTCACTACTCTAAATCCACATTTGATGTTAATAACTTTCATACTATTGTTTTTCAGAAAAGCTTCATTTCATATTTTGGGTCTGATAGTAACAATCTTTTCACCATTTAGGGCTGGGTGACATCAAATGACAGACAAAGGGCTTATCGAGTAGTCTTTCTCCAGGGTTCAAGGAAAGCACCAAACAAAAACGGCACCTGCTATCTGCTATGGATCAGTCCCCATCCCCATGGCACCCCCATCCTTCCCAGGTGTGGAGCAGCCAAAAAGAGGTAGCTATGACGCGTCTTTCCCATTCTATTTCAAGTGCAAGCCGTGATAAAATGGGAAACCACAGCTGTCCCCCATGGTGGACTCCTGGGGTCCACCTCTAGCTTCAAATGAGGAACTTGGCTTTGACTTGACCAACGTCCTCTTACAGCCCTTGAACTGCGCTATGCAACTTGCCATTAAGGTTTTCTGGCTTAATACTAATAATCAGAAACACATCAGTGGACAAATATATAGTAGACACGTATAAGATCACAAATATAGAGGTCAACATGTTGTCCTGGGCCCCAAGCCATACAAACACACACACAGCCTTCAGGTTCAAATCCCAGCAAGGAACCCTGAGCGTCCACTCGGGAGAGGGAGGGGCAGGAGCCGCAAACAGAGGTTAAACCAGACACCAGCCAAAGCAAACACCTCTCCCAGAACAGGGGAAACTTTGGGTCTGGGCGGCTGCAGAGCCCCAGAAATGACAGGGGCAGGGGAGGGAGTGTCAGACAGTCTTCAGGGAAGGAAGATGGGAGCGCACCCAGCACTGGGCGAGAAGCTGAGCTGCAGAGGAGGCTGGTGTGCCCGGGGGACAAGGGCGTCGCCGCCATACCCGGCTGCAGAGCCCCCTCTCGAGACCGGGCGGCGTCCCCAGGGTCACTGGGGCAGCCCTGTCGCTCCAGTGTCTCCACAGACACTGTCCCCACAGATCCACAGACAAGGGGACCAGGGACCTACCTGGTGCAGCGTCTCGGCTGGCAGCTGCGACGCCCGAAACAGATCAGCCACGGGACCAGCGGCCGCGGTGGCAGCGCCCGAGGCGACCCTGGCGGCCTCGGGGGGACCAGGACCCGGGCCCCCGCTTGCAGCTCCCGCGCAGCGCGCAAAGAGCTCAGAGTAACACTGCTGTTCACCCTCGCTCAGCAGCAGCGGCGGCCCAGAGCTGCAGCCTCCGCCCGCTGCTGCCTCCATGGGGCCTTCAAGGGGCCCTGCGGAGCACGGTCCCCG